AGAACGCTAATCCGCGAATTCGCTACAATCAACAAGAGCAGTTTTCTAAACAAACTCAACAAACTAAGCAACTAACTAACTAACATAACGAATTGAGAGGTTTTCCTCCTTTTATAAGCTTTTTAAAATCACGCGCTAGAATTTTCCAGTACTTTCTCGAAATCAAAAAGAGGATATTTATTTATTTAATGCACGCGCTCTTGTATTTTTCAATTTTTCCGGCTTAGCTTTCTTTTAATATTCGTCACGCGCTGCACTGCGCGAGAAATAAAAACCATTTTAATTTATAATTGAACTAACATTAGCTTTTTAAATACCAAATTCGTAACAATATATTTATATATATTTATTAATTCATGGTTTTAATTGAATTTCGGTTCCTTGGAGATGGTATATAAAAAGTTTTTAACTATAAATGATTGATTTATTACTTTGCAGTTTTAGCGCAGGTTATAGGTTTTTTAATTCATTCATGATTACTTTCATTTAGAATATAAATATATTGATGTGATAACTTAATGCGTAGGAGGGATCGGATACTTTAACAGCTTGCAATCGTCATGGCCGAGGATGGATATTTTGATGCGCTGCAGTCTACGTAGTTGGATACATAAATCACAAACTTCCAGATGTAACCACAAACTTTCAGAACATAATTTTATTCCATTATAATTCACATCAGATCATTTTTGTAGGCAAGGTATTTATCCAATCATACTTCAATACGATAATTTTTATGTACACTGATTTTAAAAGTAAGACATAGGCATCTTAGACCGAGAAGCAAAGTAGCGCGAAGATGTTAGCAAGGTAGAAGCTGGAGAACGGAATTACGTAATTGGAACTTTGGGGTTATATTGGTGTTCAGCAGGTAATTCTAGCCTCCTCTTACCAGTTCCTCATTTAGTCCCTTTCTGGGCCTGTCGGTGAGAATTAACTTGCGAGCGGTATTTATACCGAAGTAGAGACAAGCTATGATTGGTTAATTTTAGTTTTAGTAACCTTTTTCAACCAGTGTTATATAACATGGAAAGATCTCGAATTTGTGAGAATTACATAGCATAAAATCTAGAATCGTTAATTTTAAGGTCGTCAATAATTCTTAAAGCAGCCATCTCTTATTTTGTTTATATCTTACATGCACATATATATATGTAAGATAAAAATGTATGAATCAGAATTATAATATAATTATAAATATTAATTCTTCCTCTCTATTCTTCTAAAATCGTAATAAACTTGTCTGCATTGCGTCATTCAAATTAATTATGCGATCTTACGTAACCGTTAATACCAGATGCCTCTTGACAACCAATCACCGAATTGTAAACCAAAACTTTCTCTTTCGCGTGCTTCCATCTTTCATAACGACGCACTTCAGCTTTTGCTCTCTACTCTGCTAAGATGTGATTTCGCTGGCTTGCTTTCTATCCCAACAATATCAAAAATGTAAATCTTCTGTGGAAAGGCACGACTAGAGTGCCAAGTGATTGTGGCCACAAATATCAATTGGAAATAAAAATGGAATTAAAACTGCTTCGACTGCCAAGTTCTTTAGATATTACCAAGTTAGCATTACTAGCATACTACGCAATCAAAATTCTTCTTCAATATGGGTCTAATCACGCATCTACAGTGTTCCGTCATTTCCTTTGCTTTTATTATGACAATTAAGCCGGTAAGGATAGTTTCCTGCAGCCTGAAACCTCAATGGAAAATTTAATTCAGCTCTTCAAATCATCGTTTTGTGATAACTCCAAGATAATGTGAAAGAAGTGAATCATCAAGTTTGTTTTTTCAGTGCTTAAAAAATAAACAGATCATTCTTCTGCTGTGTGGTTTTGCAAGTGCTTCAATAAATAATCACGCGTAGTGTTTACAGATTGAAAGTAATATCTCGATAAATTGAGAAGTTCGAATGATAGTAAAAAAGGAATATTGAATTTGCTTCGCCGATCTCTACAATATTTAGAAAAAAAAGTGCTTTAAATCATCAGTGAATTACCGTTTAGGAATTCAGCATTACAGCGAGTTCAAGGTCGATCTGAGTTGGTGTTTGCAAGTATGTGCGACAGAAAATTATTTGCACTTCCGCTTTTTCAACAGCTCAAAAATTATTACATTAGTGTGAATCTAGCTCAGGAACTAAATTATTTAATGTGCATCGGATTCTATAGTTTTCATTTCAACTTTGGTTAAAATTTCTGCAATTTGTTTTGATAAAATCTGAAATTCTTGTTCATCAAATTTTCTAATTTTTCATAATTATGTGTGAGCAAATTAAGTAAAGAATTTTAAGCTATTTAAATTATTCATAGGGAAGGATATTAACATAAGTTTTTGTTTTTGAAATTTTGTTGAGAATTTTGAATACGAATTTTATAATTATTCTAAAAATAAAGATGTTAAAAATAAGTGAAATTAGTACAGATAAGTAATATGAAATTATGGTAAATGCATGTTAAAATTTGTGGGTTATTGTGTGTTAAGTATAGTATGATGAGGGGTGTACTTGTATGGTTCCTTCAACAGAGGCCCTGTAATTACCTCTGTACCAGTTTTTCCTTTTACCCTCTTCATGCAAGAATAATGGAGGCTCTCATTTTATGAATGCATGTAAATTTTTATATTATTATTATTATTTATTTTTATTATGGAATGTATTAGTGCAGTTCTCAAAGGCCAGTTACCTTAATGCAAGGAACAGAGGCCTTTTCAAGTAACTGCCTAGGCACCCTGGGCCACCAGTGCAGAGAACACGCTGGTTAGCTCAAGAGGACAGCCCTATTGATGGATATGTTTGTTTAGAAGTATTGCGAGGCTTCCAGTTTGGTAAAATCAGGAATTGTAAATGAAAGATGATAACGGTGATGATTGAAACCATAAATTCTGAAGATCTTAATCCTATTATTTATGATGTTAAATTATAATTTATCAGTATGGAAATAAGTATCATAAATATTTATGTGCATTACATTTATTATAAGCAATGATTGTGTAAAAGTTTATTTTGTGAGATTCTGTAATAACAAGAACCTTCCCTGAAGAATTATGATTATGTGAACTCTCAAACAAAAAAGACTTTTGGACTGAAATGCTGAAAAAATTCAATAGGACTCTAAAAATTAAAAATTTATTTAAAAAAATTGATATTTATAAATTATACTTTTACAGATCAAAATTTTATGATTTATGTTTTCTTTTTTACATTTGCTAGTGCTTTAACTCTTTCTCTTTAAAAAGGCTTCTCTGTCGCTACGCCTTTTTCTTTTTGAAGGGGGAAATATGTAAGATAAAAATGCATGAATCAGAATTATAATATAATTATAAATATTAATTCTTCCTCTCTATTCTAAAATCGTAATAACTTGTCTACATTGCGTCATTCAAATTAATTATGCGATCTTACGTAACCGTTAATACCAGATGCCTCTTGACAACCAATCACCGAATTGTAAACCAAAACTTTTCTCTTCGCGTGCTTCCATCTTTCATAACGACGCACTTCAGCTTTTGCTCGCTAATGTGCTAAGATGTGATTTCGCTGGCTTGCTTTCTATCCCAACAATATCAAAAATGTAAATCTTCTGTGGAAGGCATTACTAGAGTGCCAAGTGATTGTGGCCACAAATATCAATTGGAAATAAAAATGGAATTAAAACTGCTTCGACTGCCAAGTTCTTTAGATATTACCAAGTTAGCATTACTAGCATACTACGCAATCAAAATTCTTCTTCAATATGGGTCTAATCACGCATCTACAGTGTTCCGTCATTTCCTTTGCTTTTATTATAACATATATATATATATATATGGTATGGTATATGTATATGGTATATATATATATATATATATAGAGAGAGAGAGAGAGAGAGAAGTATAGATAACGTTTACCAATTGCAATGAAAAAGGGAGCTGCACAACTAAATGTTATAGCAATCCCATATACTAAATTTCAACGTTCCACGGCTAATAGTTTTTTAACTATATAAAATAAGTACATATTATATGTAAACGGGTATGAAGTACGTACAGACATCCCTTTTGAATACATTTTAAATCCATTTTACAATCAGCTCTGGAAAAAAGTCCTTTATTATGTGCATACGCACAGATGTCACGTAGAAACATCGTCCAAACAGATTCGAGTAGGGTCAAAATGGATGTTTCCTTTGAAATATGATACCCGAAATCTTCTCGGATTACAATACTTTCTTTTTTCCGAACAAGGAAGTAAAAACAAAGTCGAAACTTATTTATATTTAAAATTATAAAAAATTTAATACCTACAGAATATCATGTATTTTAATCATTTTGATGCTTCTTATATTCCATTATCACTTTGAAACAATGCATTAATTTATATTTGAAAGAATTTTTTGTCCTGCTACCTATTGAGAAAAAAAAAAAAAAAAGAAACTGCGAAAAGAGGAATTAAAACTGAATATCTTAGATATCTATGAAGTTTACCTTTTCTTTTTATTATTATTATTATTATTATTATTATTATTATTTACTGTATCATTGCACCGGCTAAAAACTTCTTAGTCTGATTAAGATTTTTAAGAAAGATGGCAGTTTTTTCTAATATATGCCTAAAAATATTCCTAAATATAAATGTAAGGACTGGAGAAACGTATAAAAAGTCATATTTCATAATTTTTACAAAATCGACTTCTTTAATTTAAAAATTCTAAAGAATGAACAGTTGCGTCTTTAAACATTTTTGTAATTAGAAGTACATGTCTACAACCAAAGGTTGAACAAATAAAGACCACATACAGACTTTTTTAAATACGATGTACATTTCTTATTTTTAACAGTTTCATTTTACCACGTGCAAAATATATTCCATTTTGCAATCGATTCTTGTGAGTCATAATACATGCAATACTTTTATCTAAACTGGATTTTGTTGGTAGATGTGGATAAATTCTGTAATACTGTAAATGCAATATGTAACAGAAATAAATATTAAGAATAACAATTAAAACACTTACTTTGCATTTCGTTACGACATGAAAGAAACATTTAATTTTAACTTGCGTAAAAGTTGCACCGCTCAAGGTCAGCTTAGGACTGCTTAGAGCGCGAGTCAATAATCTTGTTTCATGAATCACCTCGTTTCAGGTTCTCCGTTGTCCGAGTTTCTTGACCTATTATTGGGAGAAGCGGTATTATTCTGAAGGATTTAATGTGCGAACAGATCAGCAGATATAAAGATACGCTATGAAAGTATGACAGTTTTCTAAAAGTATTATCTAACATAGTTAGCCCTTAACAAGCATATGTGTTAAACACGCCAGACCCCGGAACAGTTGAAAATCCGAGAAATTTTAAATCTCTCAAAGTTGAATTTATTAATTATACTTTTTACTTCCTTGTGCGAAGTAAAAAGGAAATATTGTAATCGCGAAAAGTTTCAGGCTGCATTTTCACCACTATTGAATGCAATTTAACGCTGTTTTTCCGTGACATCTGTACCTAAGGAGAGAATAAAGGACTCTTTTTCCCTAAAAAATATGTAACTCATTTAAAATTCATTCTGAAGAGAATTTTTCGTGGCGTAAGTATCAAAAACGAGTAGACTCCGAAGGTTGAAATTTTGTAGATAGGACTGCTATAAAACATGTGCACCTTGTATTTTGGTTGCAATTGGCCGCACCAAAAGTATATTCTTTATTATATGTCGCCTACGTGTCTGTTTGTCGCCGATAGTTTATTGGTTGCTTGCGTAACTGTACTAGCCAATGGGGTGAAGTTGCCACAGCATTCAAATAATCCTTATACACTGATACTATACGTGCAGTTATCCTTGCTTTAATTGAATTATCATGGTATTTAAGAACATTCAAATATTTTTAATTTATAGAATTGTTTATTATGCATTTAACTATATTTACATATGAATTACCTAGAAACTTGCAAACGTTGATAAATTAAAGGAGACGAAACCAACTAACGAGTTGTGCGTAGTACATCTCATCAAGTAGGTTTACCCAAACTCCTCTGCTAAGTATCCTTTCACGTAAAGAGTTTAAAATTTTGCCCTATTTTATTCCGACATTGTATTTTAAACTGAATTTTCAGCTGAACGCAAATTGAGCGTGTCAGGGGGAACGTGAATATTTGTTTGCATTAGCAGTCATCTGTTTTTGAAATGGTTTACAACTGAACGCAAATTGAGAGTGTCAGGGGGAAGGTGAACATTTGTTTGCATGTTGTGTACAAAGAAATCTTTGACATGTGAATTAAAATTTTATTATTTAAATCACTTTTATTTATTGAGTTACCGGTGGCTCTTAAGAAATGTACCGCCAGTGGTTTCCTTCATTGCACTCTAAGCAATTAACCAAGTACAAGGGGGAAACCCGGTGGGGCATTAAGCAAAGGGGCGTCCTTGCCGCCTGCTCTGGGTAATTCAGTTTGAATTAATAGACAATCCATACTGGTAAGTTATATTTTGAAAGATGTTTTGAAGTAACTTGAAAGTAAAATGTTAATAATGTTTTAACGGGGACTGGAGTTAAATCATCATGAAGAATAAAATTTCAATTTGTAAAAGGGAAAAATTAAAACATGTAATCATTGTCATTGATCGGAAATTAGTTGACTTTTCAAGGGGAACAAACCAACTCCCGTTCAATGAACAATAATTAATAAAAATACGTAAATACGAAGTGTTTCGTCTTTACTCGAGTTATAAGGTTAAAGCCAAACCGGCAATTCTAGTCAGGCCAAATATTTCCGCGAATAGAAGGGATTATGAACCAATGCTGATATTCAAAGAACTTATTCTTATGAAGCATTTTAGTCAATTCAATTTGGAGTAAAAATCAATTACTGTAGAGAAATCCTATAAAACTCGAGTAACCGTCCCCGACACCCTCATGTTTATGCATTTGAGTTCTATATTATTTGTAAAAATTAAACATTGGAATATATATATATGTAACAATAAAATTCCATATTCAAGAATACGCTTAAAATTCTAACTGTATGTTCTTTTCATTTTTAATGGCGACGTTCTCTTGTTTGAAAGTACTAACTGGAAACGTATATACGTTAACGTTATAACGTAGAATTAAATCCACAGCCCCGTAGTCAAGTTGTTTTTCCCGCTTTTTCTACACGTACAGTTATAGAATGTTCTGGAAATATTTAAAGAGAACTGGATTGGCTGACGAGGCTGACGTCATTTCTTGAAATCTCCGCCTTTCCAGAGGCATTAAAAAGACTCGCAAAAGAATATCGGTGCTTTTTCTTTAATGCAAAGATGCAGTAAACTTCATACAAAAAGTTATTAGTAATTTTTTTATTTACTCCGGGTATCTGATTTTGTAACTCCTATTTCTCCTGAATAATAATAAATGGATCCTGTTTTTTTTTTAATTAAAAAAAAACAGGATCCATTTATTATTTTTAATTAAAAAAAAACAGGATCCCATTTATTATTATTCAGGAGAAATAGGAGTACAAAATCAGATACCCGGAGTAAATAAAAAAATTACTAATAACTTTTTGTATGAAGTTTACTATGAAGTCTGATAATTTAAGCTACGACTAAAGCTGGTACATCATATATATATATATATATTCACTCTGTTACTCGGCTCAATGGTCTGTTTCTTTATTCTTATATGTTTGTAAATTGTGCATTTTTTGGTTTAAAAATAATTGGATTATATTGTTCTTGTCTTCCGGTTAAGTTTTTTATACCTTTAGTAAATCTGCATGCAATATTTGTAGAATTATCAACAATTTGAAAGTTGTTTAAGTGCGGCTAAGTCTAATTATTTTTGCAATGGCGGCCATATTTGTTTACATTTGAACTTGTCAGAATAGCGGATATGTTGCCAATCTAGAGAAACTAAGCTCCGCAACAACAAAGATAACGCCTTCTTTTATTATTGTGAATTAAATTAGGCTTTATCCATTCTGGAATTTATTCGAGAAAATAAGCGTTTAAGATTTTCTTTGTAATTTTTAATAAAGATATTTTGCGTTTTTATGTATTTTAGCCTTGAAGTGAGGATTGAATTGATTGAATGAGAAATATTGAATCGTCTGTAAAAAACTGTTTTTTTGTTGTTGTTTGTTTGTTTAATTTCTTTTATACACCGTTTTAGATTTATTATAATATCTGAATAGAACATGTGGCAACGATTACATAATTCTTCAAATGATATAAATTTTGTGCATTCTGAATTATTAAAAAAAAAATCATAATATGAGATTCTGAGTTATAATGTGACTCCTGAAGTTTTGCTGTTCTACTTGAATATTGAGTAAGTTCTTTTGCTTCTTATTGTTATACGCTAGCAGAAGTGATAAACATATCATTTTTATTCAAATATCTTAATTAGAATTTTCCATTTAAATTATGTCGGAACTTTCATGCATTTTCATTTATTCTATAATTAAATTTTTTTCCTCGCTGGTCTCCAACACAATGTACTGAAACATATGAATAAGTGTCTTTTGTAGCAACCATCTAACCCACAGCCTTCATATTATAAACTTGGACTGTTTAGACCTCAAAAACACCTTAATTTCAAAACTACATCTAATGTGCTAACAAATTAGGTGATTAAACTTTTGTATTCACTGAAAGCCTAACCTTTAATTTCACGCATACCGATAGCTTTTGCTTTTAACTTAATTTTATCTTACTCCGATAGCTAGACACATACCTTTGAGAAATGCATGAAACATTATAGAGGTCTATTTATGAAAAATTCAGATTTATTGAAAGATTTGTGTGCGTTTATGTACTGCAGAGTAAGTTTCAAAAAAGAAATTGCATACATACTACAAGATTGCAATTCTTAAAATTATGCAAGCATATTTTACTTTAATACATATATTGACAGAATTTTAATGCTTCCAATACTAAACTGTTCATGAAACATTTGCAATACATTAAATTTAAAAAATTCAGTTTACATTTTATATTATATTACATTTTATATTTACATAAGTTGCTTAAATTTACAATTTCGACCAAATTTCCTCAAAGATCAATCTTTTAAACTTAAACTGAATGTAGTGTCTCTTCGATCGCATCGATTTATTGCGTCGTCTATAAGCTTTTGGTTAAGTGGATTGGCGGCAACATCAAGCTACTGTAAAAACCAAGGAACAATGACTGATTTTCAGTTTGTAAGATTTGATATGAATAAACTAGAAAGCCTGGCGGTCATACGAAATGACCGCTATTCTAGATATTATAAATTGTAATTAAAATTATTTGTGCAAAGGTGTCTTCTACTTCAAACTGAATTACCCAGGGCAGGCGGCGAGAACGCCGCTTTGCTTACTGCCCCATGGAGTTTTTCCCTTCTACTTGCTTAATTGCTTAAAGTAGAGTGCGATGAAGGAAACCAACCACTGGCTGTACATTTCTTAAGAGCCACCGCTAGCTCAATAAATAAAGGTGATTTAAATAATAAAATGTTAATTCACGTGTCAAAGATCTCTTTGTACACAACATTTCTTAAGCTCACCTTGCAGGGGACCATCAATTATTTTTAATTTTACGTCCGTTCTTTCACGAACTCTTGAACAGGTAACATAAAGTTGACCATGTCCAAATGCAGACTCAAGTTAACAAATGCCAACACGCTTAAGAGTTTGCCCCTGAGACTTGATGGTCATAACAAAGGCAAGTTTTGCAGGAAATTGTCTACGTCTCAATTGAAACGGCAACCCTGTGCGGTGGCAACTTCACCCCATTGGGTAGTACAGTTACGCAAGCACAATAAAATATCGGCGACAAACAGACACTTAAGCAGCATATATATATATGGGGTGAAGTAACATCAGCTCCTCCGAAACCGTTGGTTCCCGGGCTTAGCGAAGCACACCGTTGGATTCCGCAGGTCCGTGGCACGCCATTTTGACCATTCGCGTCTTCGGCGGACTTTAATTAGCAAAGATATTAATTTAAAACTAATTTCCCTATGTTTTCCCTACATTTTCCACTTTCTTTCTTACGTTTTCCCTATTAGAGGGACTTGTCTACGTGCCAAATTCTTTTTTCTCGAATACCTGCGGTACGGTGCCGAGTTGAAATTCGAGACGCGTATCCTGCGATTCCAAAAAGTTCTCCGAATCCATCGATACCGTTCCCATCTTCGTACGACTTTAATCG